CTTCCTCAAGTTCAAGCACTTTATCTCTAAGTTCAACTCTAAAGAAAATGAGAAGTCTTAGTGATGTGTATGCTAGACGCAATTTTTGTGTGGTTAAACCCAAAAGTTTTGAAGAAGCAATCAAAGAAGATGCTTGGAAGAAAGCAATAGAAGATGAAATTCATGTGATTGAGAAAAATAGCACTTGGGAGTTGATGGAAAAGCCAAAGAATAAAGAGGTCATTGGGATGAAGTGGATTTACAAAACGAAACTTAATCCGAATGGTTCAATTCAAAAAAATAAAGCAAAACTTATAGCAAAGGGGTATTCACAACAAGCCGGTGTCGATTACCAAGAGACTTTTTCTCCGGTTGCTCGACTTGATACAATAAGGCTTCTTATTACTCTTGCTTCACAAAGGGGTTGGTTTCTTCATCAATTAGATGTAAAATCAGCGCTCTTGAATGGTGAGTTAAAAGAAGAAGTTTATGTAGAGCAACCACAACCTCAAGGCTTTGTGGTCAACAGTGAAGAAGGAAAAATGTACAAGCTACAAAAGGCTTTGTACGAGCTGAAACAACACCTTGAGCATGGTATAGTGAGATTGATTCCTATTTCAATGCAAATGGACTTCAAAGAAGTAAAAGTGAGTCAATCTTGTACATCAAAATTCAACGGTATTCTCATTGTGTATCTTTATGTTGATGAAATGGTTTTTACCAGAAATGATAGATTAATGATTAAAGATTTTAAAAGTGAAATGATAAAAAGATATGAAATGAGTGACTTGGGACTTCTACATTACTTCTTGGGTATTGAAATTTATCAACAAGATGGAGTTTTTTATTTGCCAAAGGAAGTATGCAAAAACTCTTCTTGAAAAATTTAGAATGAGAAATTACAAATCAATGGCTACATCTTTAGTTGTGAATGAAAAGTTGTTCAAAGATGATAGAACTAAAGAAGTTGAAGCATCTTTCTATAGAAGCTTGGTCGGAAGCCTTTTGTGCTTGACAGCTATAAGGACGGACAACATGTATGCCACAAGTTTGTTATTTCGGTTTATGCACAAACCAAGCCAAATTCATTTTGGGACAACAAAGAGAGTGTGGAAATATATTCAAGGAATACTTGATTTTGGGATTATGTTTGGAAGGAAAGTAGATGTCAACTTACTTGGATTTTGTGATAGTGATTGGGTCAAAAACATTGACGATATTAGGAGCACTTCGGGCTATGTATTCTCACTTGGTTCCGATGTAATTTCATGGGTGTCCAAGAAGCAAAAAAGTGTGGCACAATCATCAGCTGGAGCTGAAAAAATTTCAGCATCATTGGCTACTTCTCAAGCAATTTGGTTGAGAAGAATCATGGAAAATATTGGTGAAAAGCAATGTGAAGCAACTCCAATTTTATGCGATAATAAATCAGCAATTGTCATGACAAAGAATCCCATCTATCATAGCTGAACTAAGCACATTGTAATCAAGCATCACTTTGTTCGAGAAGTTGTGAAAGATGAAGAGATTCAAGTCAAATATTGCAAGACCAAAGATCAAGTGGCAGACATTTTTACCAAAGCACTTCCTAAAGATAAGTTAAAGTTTCTAAGAGACATGTTGGGAATACAATAACAAAGCATTAAAGGGGTGTGTTAAAAATAGAATACTAGATAATACTTTGTTGTTAAGTGTATCTAGTTGTTTTGGGAATACAAGTGGTTATGTCTTGGGTATTGTTATGTGGTTAATGGTCTAGGAAAGTGAGTGATCAAGATGTATCTTGTAACCTATATATATTTTGAAATTATGGAATACATGTATGGAAAATTATTCCATAAGACTAAGTTACATTATCTTTGTTTTATCTATCACAAATATACAAAGGCTGAAAATATAGCCAACAATCCTCCCAACTGCGATTGTAGACTAGAATATCATCCAAAAATACTAAGATAAATTGAGGAAGATAAGGTTTGAATGCCTCATTCATAATGTACTGGAATGTGGCGGGGCATTGGTTAGCCCGAAGGGCATAACAAAAACTTATAGTGCCTCTCATGCGTCCAAAAAGGCTTTTTTATCCGCATCACTTAGGTATACCTAGATTTGGTGATAGCCAAACCTCAAATCTAATTTCGTGAAGAATTTGGCGTCGTGTAGTTCATCAAGAAACTCATCAATGACTGAAATCGAAAATTCATCCTAAATGATGTCATGGTTCAAGGCACGGTAATTAATGCATATACGCCAAGAGTTGTCTTTTTTCCTTACTAGCAGCACCGGTGAAGAAAAAGGACTAACGCTTGGCCTAATGATACCGACAGCCAACATTTCCTTGACAATACGCTCAATCTCATTTGTTTGAATACACAGATATCGATTTGGCCTGAGATTAGCCGAGTTGCTTCCTGCCTTGAGAGGTATGCAGTGGTCTTGATCATGTTGATGAGGTAATCCCACTGGCTCTGAAAATACATCAGAATAATTTTTAATTGAACTCAAAATAGTTGAATTAGTTGTTACCTCAATTGTCTCTACTTGTGCAACAAACAGTTGTGCAAAAACACCTTGGTTTGTCTTGGACAAGGCTTTTTGCATGTGATTTGCCTCCATGATTTTTGATGGTGTAAATTGGTGTGGATGAGCAGAGGGTATGGATTATGCTTGGCAACTTGGATCCGAGCTACAAGGCTCGTGAGAATTGTGTTTAGGATCACTAGGGGATTGGGGTGATTTGCACAATAAAAATATAGTGGTTCACCAGCTTGGGATGTCGACTAGTCCACTATTCAATGGAGGCTCTTGCTCCTTTTATCTTTTTTCATGAAAGATTTGACTTACAAAGTTTCTTCTATGATATCAGATTTTTCTCTTGCCTCTCAAGGAGGCAATGTACAGTATTTATAACACAATTTGTATAACTAAGGGATCTTCAACGAAATCCTTGCTCTTTAACCACGAGATTTTCCTTGATTTTAAGAGATCTTAGGTGGTTAAGAGTTTCATGCTTTGATCACTGCCCCTTTGCTGTTTTGTGGACTCCTCTTGTTAACTAGCTATTCTTTCCTTGACTCCCTGATCTTTCATCGGAGAGGAGCTCAGGACTTGGGCTTTAGAGCTCTGGGCTCATTGTCCGACCTAGCTTCTCGAGCTCATACTTAATAAAAATTCTTTATTCATGTATCATCAATTTTGATTGCACCTGTAGTCGGCCCACGCAACACATGCTTTTTGCCAGTAGAGTGAAACTCCATTTGTAAATTTTTAAAATCCCAAAACTATGGGTCCAAGGGTGGTCAGCCATTGAACAACCAAAACCATATCATAACCACCCAAAGATAAGAGCCGAAATCAGTTTTAAAAATTGTTCCTTGCATGAACCAATCCAATCTCCGACACAGCCGTACTCAATATTTTTGAACCATTAGCTACAGTAACAATTAGTAGGTTGGTTTGAGAGATTGAACAACCGGGTTGATTGGCCACACTTGGGTCCTGGAAATTATGAGTCCTTCCGGAGTCGATAAGAATGGTCACTGGTCTGTGCTTAATGAACCCACAGACCCTCATGGTCTGATATGACACAGAACCAGCTAATGCATGGACTGATATGAGAGGTTCATCCTGCTTCTGTTCATCTACTGTTGTCTCTTCCTCTTCCTCTTCCCCACCATTCTCTATCTCCTCTTCAATAACTTCTCCTTCCAGTAGATATATTTGTCTTCTTTTTACAGCAATGGCCAAGCACATACTTCTCGTCACAATAATAGCACAATCCTTTAGATCGTCGTTCCTCCAGTTCAGCTATTATGATCTTCCGTATGGGTGGTATGTATCCTTAGGTGTGAATTTTTGCCTTCCGCCGGACAGATGCAATTGTCTCTTCTTGTAGTTTGGCTAGGCTGCTTGTTTGAGTGAGGTTGGCAGGTGAGAACATCATCACACCATTTTTAATTTCATCCTACAAACAATTCACAAAACATTCAAAAGAAGAATTCCTCACTTAAACCTTTAGTATGTACCATTAGTGATTCAAATTATTCTTGGTAGGATGCCACCGCATGATCGTAGGTGCTAAGTCCGAATCGTTTAACCATGTTATCAGAAAATGCACTCCAAGTAATGAAGTCCTTCGCTTTTTTGTGGCTTTCGTGGGGTAAATCTAGTTTTGACCGAGTCTCGATCCATAGGTTGCCGCTGTCCACTTGTCGCGATATTTTCAAACTCATTCCTGCCATTCATTTCCTGACATTACGTATGGTATGTAATAATATTTTTCAATAGATAGAATGAGTTTGAAAATAAAATAAATTTAAAAATAGAATAGAATACGTATTATCATTCAAATATTTGGCAATTATTTAGAATTAAGTGTTAGAATAGAATGTCCATTTGATTCTTATGTTTGGATAAAATAATTTTTTCATTGGAATAGAATCAACTTTAACCAAAATATTCATAGTGATTAAAAATAATTAATAACAATTTTTTTTTATGATTGCGATTGCCCCTAAAAATTCTGTGAAAAAAAATTTATAATTAAAAAAATGAAAGGAAAAATTCCACTTTGCCCCCTAAAAGATACAATTTTTTCACTTCACCCCCAAATGATTAATTTTTTCATATTATTGCATGAAAGATATTAAAAGGTTGCAACGCAGTTCTTCGTTATTTTTTTGTTTGTCGTCCGTATGATTTTGTTATCACGTGCTTCGCACATGAAAAGAAGAGGGGCTGTATTGTAAAATCATTTTCTGTGCAAACAATGTCTTCGTCTACCAAGTGATTTGGGGAATGTACTGAGTAAGAGAGAGAGAAGGGAATAAACAAAAGAGGGAGAGATTTGCCCAGATTTGGGAAAGAAGATTTAGGGTTTTACGGTCTCTCTCTTTCTTTCTCTGGTTTCTGTAAAATGGTTCCCACGGGATCGCTCTACTTTGCTATTATGCTATGTTCTCTAACTATGGTTCGTGCTTGCATCCCCGACGTTTTCTCAAGCGGGCCATGGCAGGGCGCCCATGCCACCTTTTATGGCGGCAGTGAAAGCCTCTGACACTATAGGTACAGTACATACCCCCCTCTCTCTCTCTCTCTCTCTCTGTTTAGTTCCCACTTAAGCTAATTTGCTCTGTTTTGTGCTCTGTTTCTTCCCATGTATCGAACCATTACAGAGACTTTGTGCACTGGGGATAAGCAAGAAAAACCCACATTCACATCTTCATTTTCCCGCAAAGCCGAATCAAATCTCTCAACTCTCAACCCGTGGCCCCTATTTACTTAATTTTTTTTTTGCCATTTTCCCAAAACCACCCAAAATGTCTGTTTAACTACTAATTCTTCAGAAACCAGGTCAATGTACAAAACCATTTGTAATTGCTAGCTGTTTTGTTCAGGTGGAGCATGTGGTTATGGGAATCTGTACAGCCAAGGCTACGGAGTAAACACGGCGGCACTGAGCACGGCCCTTTTCAACAATGGTCGGAGCTTGCTTCGAGATCAAGTGCGCCGAAGATCCAAGGTGGTGCAACCCAGAAAGACCCTCCATTTTTGTCCCCGCCACCAACTTTTGTCCACCCAACTATGCTTTACCAAATGACAATGGTGGGTGGTGCAACCCTCATTGAACCCACCTCGACCTCGCCATGCGCATGTTCATCAAGATCGCCCAGTACTGTTATTGTTCCGGTCAATTTCCGCCGTTGAGTGATAAGACCAAAACCCTCTAAGTTGGTGGGTTTGCACAGAAAATGATTTTACAATACAGCCCCTCTTCTTCTTCTCACGTGTGAAGCACGTGATAACAAAATTAAACGGATGACAAACGAAAAAATAACGATGGACTACATCGCAACCTTTTAATATCTTTTGGGAGGTAATATGAGAAAATTAATCATTTAAGGGACAAACAAAGTGAGATTTACCCAATATGAAACTCCATTAAAAAAATATTAAACCCTTATAAATTTTAAAAAATCAAAAAACAAATTCCTCGAGAAGTAGGTTCACAAAAAGAAATCAAAATAAAAATTTATTCAAAATGGGTTATTCATCTCAAATGAACAATTATGGTTCTTTATGAATTCAATTAAACACATGTGCAAACCCAAAAAACAAATTATCAACATAGTTAGGAATCTTATCCAAACATATAAGTTGAACCAAAAAATAAATCAATGAAAAGTAAGTCTAAAAAATAATCAACAGTACACAGAAAACAAAAATAACTTGAATAAAAACAAAAATTCTTAAATTTTATTTATTTCATCTCAATAGCATTGGACGTAGAATTTTAAGAAACAAAATCATTCTCAAATATAGGCATAAAAAATTACACTCTCTGTCTTCTTGCTCTTCAGTCATCAAACATTTGTTTTGTTAAATTCAATCTAAATGTTGATTACTCGTTAGATGTTTCAACCATGGTAATACAATCATCATGTGTATCATTTTCCACCGCGAGACCTGTTGCATCCACCTCCACCTAGATTGGGTCTATCGGCATCTGATCTTTTATGTAGTTGTATAGCAAACAACAAACTATTTTTTACGGTTCTAAATTTTAATAGGGTAGAAAGAGCCCAACGCTTTTTCAACGGTCAAAAACATCTTTTAATTACATTTCTAGCAGAAGAATGTTTCACAAAAATAAAGTGTTAGAAGAAAATATTGGTAAAGAATTAAAAAATATATACTATGAGATATATACAATCATCAATAGTGGTTTACAATTTCTTATTTTTATTTATGATGTTGTCTGGGGACTGGTTCTGCCCACGTTGAAGTTGTGGAATTCGTGGCCAGAATATATTCAATAAAGATATGAACAATTATTCCCACTTTGTGATCATTATGGGCATCAATGTATCTTATCTGAGAGAATATGTATTTCAAACGTGTCTTTCCCTCTTTATTTAGCATTGTCATGTAAAACTCTGAAGTGTGTTGACTTTGCCATTTGTTGAAGTTACTTTTAATCTTCTTCTATTGACATGTCAAACTTATATGAACATTATTTTCTTCTTATGTCCGAATTAATTTATACGTTTTTCGACTAATTTTTTCTTTAATTTGGTCAAAAATTGATCATTCATGCCAGAGTTAAGATATTTATGAAGGATAAATCTCACATAGTTTAGCCTCAAAAGGTTATCAAAATTTGAACTCGAGATGTATAAGTTACAACACATCCCTATTACCAGTTGAATTACCCCTTGACATAATTTTACTAAGAAAAAAATAGATCTTATTTCTTTCCTTTTCTTCTCTCTCTCTTATTTGGTTAATTAGAAGCATATATATGTTTTATAACGTGTTGAAAATAGAACAACTTAAATCATAAGAAACAACAATGTTATACTAATCAAATTTTGAGATTAAATTAAAAATTTAAATGTCGTGACAGCTGATTTTGACTTATTTATTTGGTGTCATACAATTTGAACCCCAATAAATACTCTAAATGCATAAAGAAATCAGAGAACTTGAAGACACCGAAAACTTAGCAAAATTTAATTCCTGGTTATTAATGCTTGCAATTATTACCATAAAGAGTTCTTGAATGACCCAACGCGGTGATTTGTTTCTATTTGTATCCACATTATTATACATGAATTTCTAACTAATAGATCAGAAAATAATAGCAAAAAATTTGTCAATGTTATACTTCACATTTCGAAGTCATTTGGTAAAGCATTTGCTGAGAATTTAACAAAAGGTACCTAAATCTGAGAATTCTTTTTTTGTTTTGTTTTGTCATGTCATTTGTTTATTTTCATATGTCAGATGGAACAAACATTGTACATTCTATTTAGAAAATCTTATTGTTAGCATGTCAAACAAATAGATCACTTTTACGTTAGAAGTCAAATATCATGTTCTTGTATGCCATGTCTAGATTAAGAACATTTTTTTATTTCTAATTAATTGTTGATAAATATTTTAAACTTTAATCATATCCTTTTACATGTTTTGACATTACCTTTGATCTTTTTTATTTTTAATTTTATCCTTCGCCATTATCATACAAAAAAAAGGTATATTCTTGTATGTCTTTAGATTTTACCTTTGATCTTAAATTGCTAAATTAAATATCATACTTTCTGGAAAATTAAATATCATATATAAGTACTTTGTTTTTGCCTTTACCTGTAATTTATGAGTCATTTATTTCATTCCTTTTGATTCACTTAATTTTTTCAAATTTTATTTAGCGTTCTTTAAAATTTCAATAGTGCAAAAACCACACCCAAAATTCTCAAGAAATCCAATCTTATCGGAAAATAATATATGCCAAACACAATAATAATACATAATGGTCAACGCGCAACGTATGTGTGCATTAACTAGTGATATAAAATAAATACAAGAAACACTATTTATAAAACCCTACTATAACATAAAGACTAGAATACGCCTAACGAGAAATAATGAGAAATATAAATATAAATATAAATACAATTTTAACACTGACAAGAAGAAACTATAAACATCCAGGGAATTCAATATCAGTGTGATCTGATCCTTAATAGATTTCTGAGACTTACTGGAGATGATTAAGGAGCTCCAACCATCCAATGCTTGTGCTCCTGCTTGTGCTCCTGCTTCAAACAACTGAGGATGCCCTGAGTTGTTTGCAATGCTATTGAAAGTTGTCGCCTTTGATGCCCAACTGCTTGGGATTTGTTGAGGCGTCGAGGGAAGATCTGTAATTTCAACTAACGAATTAAATTAACGACTTTGGAATAAAGGAAAAATAACAATGAAATTGGTGCTATAAGCCTACAACTTGACCCTTCATCATACTCGTGTGAATATTCTTTTCCGGAAGTGATATATTCAATACTTCACCATAAACAGTCTTCTAAGTTCAGCATAAATCTGTTTCAGCTTTCATTTGCAAACAAAACTAACCTGAAACACATGTTTAGGCTACTGGGATTGGCACTTTAAAAGTTGACCAACACTAAAAAGACTCTCAATGAGAACGAAACCAAGCTGTTCAAACTTACAGACATGACTGAAAATACAAACTTTTGTATTGCGAAGCATGTAGCTTACAAATGGGCAGCTAACATTACCATGATAAGCTAACCGCAGCTTCCAATCAGTTAAACACACATTATATTTGCATCCCATTGTCTCTCGTCTAAGTGGATTGAACCAGCGTCACTAGAGTGCATCTGGTCTCCCAATGGATTTCTTACATTTTGAGCAGTGAGAATTGAAGCTGCTGTTGTTGACCACAACATACTATTCTTTTTCCTAGTCACGTTTAGTGTATTCAAGCAGCATGTGCGGGGACCTGTAAATTTTCACCAATGTCCAATAAAGGACCTCCTCAACTTCAAGTTCACCTTCTGCCCTTGCAGCATAAATGTCCTCACAGATTGCCAGCAACCTGCATTCATTAATATCCGATTTTGCAGTAATACTGAAAAAAGTACAGTGAAGACTGTTGAAGTCATTGACTTCTGTCACTCTAGTTTTGCTCTTGTCACCATTTAATTTTGAAACTACACAAAAAGTACCTTGAGATCATTAATAGATATAGGTTTGGACAAGTGAGGGGAGGGGAAGGTCGTCGTCAATACATTGACTGCTGCAATGCCACGTATAAGGCCGCGGGTTTGTAACATAGATTAAAGGCAATGGAATAAAGGGTGGAGGGAGACCTCAAATGAAAGTGTCATAGAAAAAAGAGCATAAAACAGAAATCATGACTTTTGGCATCTTAGTCTTCGAACTCCATTACATATGGAGAACAACAGCATTCCAGTATTTCACATGATGATTTGCAACATATACATAAAACTAAAAACCACAGGCAAGGTGGAGCTTGAGGTGGCAGTTATAAGGTTCTAAGTGTCTCATTAGGTTCAAGATATTTCTATGCTCAATTATTGGAGCAATTGTGCAATCTGAAATATAAAAAAAAAATGTGATAGCACCTAGTTGCCTGTATGCAGATATCAGGGTATCCCGCGGCCCCCACTTTGAGATGTTGCTCTTCCTGCCCCTAAAGATTACTACAGATAACGTTTTTTGATTCCAATTTTGATAGATCAAAAATTAAACTGGATAACTAATGAGACAAAAACAAATCATTATACAGGTTGGTTCCTGCTAATAGAGGGTGCTGGAGTTTTGATCCTATTAATCGAGGGTTCTGGGAGGGTGAACTAGATATGGATCTAACCCATGACATTTTTGCACAAAGTAGCTGCCCTTAAATTCAAACCCACAATCCCCTCCTGTATGAGACAGAAAATACTAATAGAAGAAATTCAGATTTTGCTTTCAACATGGAAATTACTTCTAAATCCCAAATTACATATAGTACGTAGACTCAGAGCTTGGGTACCTGTCGCAATAAGGGAGATTCTCAAAGGGTATCCTCATTCTCAGATCAGAACATTGAAGCCTGATGAAACGTCCAACCGCCAGTACAAAGGTAATATAGAGACCCCAAATGCTGAACTTGCTTAGTGTTTCTCCAAGTATACCCTCTGAGAAATATGCAAGAGGAATTAATGATGAAAAGGAAAAAAAAAAGAAACAGTCCCTGATTAAAGCATTTCCAAGAACACCACATAAAAGAAGTAGATTTTATGATTGCACTCTAGAACTTACGTGGTGTTTCTTCAGATACAATAACAGCCATTGGTCCAGCTAGCTCACCACAACCTTTAACATCTGAGGCATTAACATCATGGAAAGACCACCACTCTGGACTGCCATGATTGAGGACAAGGTCCCCACTAACCAGATTTACCTGTACAGTCTATATATCACTACGACAGTTCCACTAACGCATCAATGTATGAAAATAAGAACATTCCCCGAATAACTAAACATAGTGAGGCCTAAGCATCAAATTTTCATAGAGCTAAAGAACCTGTAATATGGCATACCATTTGTTCCAGAAACCGCACGTCACCAGAGCCAGTGACACGAAAATATCTTGGATAAACATTATATATCCTGAAACTGCTGGTAGTACCGTTTATCACCTTTATTACATCCGTTGGTTTTGGAAGATTCTGGTCTTCAACATGCAGTTCATACTTCACAACTTCCTTTCCTTTAGGCCTATCCCTGGTGAATTGCCAAGAAAACACTATGTTCATGCTCCATTGAAGAGACTGACTGAATCTAGCCTGAACAACAGGAGGGATAAGCCACAAGGTGCTTGCATCGGCTTGGCAACATATCAATTGAATGTCCTTCTCACTATATGCGCTTAAGTACCCTTGGGGATCCAGATCAACATGTGCATCAAGCTCATCCCAAGAGAGCTTTTTGCAAAGAGTGGTTTCAAACAAGGTCAGCCTACCACCCAGTGTTTTTAAATCAATTTGAACATTGGCATCCTTGATAGGGTTTGCTATGTTTGTTGGATTGCCACTGCTGTACATCTATAGAAACCGAAGGACAAACAATTACAAGCATGATATTTCTGAGGCTGAACCAACTAAGCTAGATATTTTAATCCTAACCATATGTGCACAAGATAGAACAAGGAACATGAACCATAAATATCTAGATCTAGGCTAATCATTCGCTTTATGATGTAATGTGTGTTAAAGCATCTAATCCAAAACTAATTGGCAGTGAGTGGAGAGGCCTCTTAAGCATATAAGCCAACCTTGGGTAACCATTCACTATGGGATACAAGCTCTATTTACACCCTCCCTCACGTGGGCCTGGGGCTCACACGTGAGGTGTACAGACAAACAAACATGCATACATGAAAATTCAAATGGACAAGAGACTTAGCTCACTGACTATCTAAGCCCAACTCTGATATCATGTTAGAAAATCCAACCCAAATCCAATTAGCAACGAGTAGAGAGGTCATTTAAACATATAAGTCAACCTCGGTTGGTCCTAATCATTAGATGGGGTTACAAGCTCTATTTAAACGATGAGGCTGGCACAGAAATCTGTCCAAAAGATGAGGCTTCACACAATGACTTGGCTATAGGACGCTAAAAGGGAAATGAGTGCTGAAGGATATAAATTAAACCCAAAATAATCACTGATAAACAATGTCAACAAATAGAAAGAGAAAAGATCAATGAAGGACATAGTTTAAAATGTCTTATGCATAAACGTAATTAGGTAGAACAGGAATATTCTGAGAGTTGAATGGGTGTTAAAAATGATTAAGGGAACATAAATATTCAAGATTGAAAATGAGATGGAATCTTTATTTATGGTGCTCTTTACTTTTAGCATCAAAATAACCAAACTTTTTAATACTCTCTATGAAGGAAATATTAGTTTTGGATTCTGGTGGATGCTTTAGGGGATAGAAATTGGAGTGGGAATAATGAAGGCTGACAAGGTAGTGGAAGAATTGTGAGGCTATATGGGGGCTGTTGCAGCTCCGTGAATAGTTGTCATGAAGTGTAACTCAGAGGCTTTTGAGGAGTTAGGATGGTTGGGGCTGAATCTCAGTTGAAGGAGAGAGTTGAACTTGATTAAGTGAAGTTGCTAGGCATGCAAAAGAGAACTGCAGGACTTGTGAGTGCATGTTAGATTGAAGAATCTAAGAATAAAGAATGATTAGTAGGAGGAGACGAAGAAGCATGGGAGTCACACATGCCTTGAAAAGTGTGCCTAAGTGCTCACCTAGGCCCCAGGCAAGATGCACCTGAAGTGCCTCAATGAGCTTGTTACTGAGGTGCAATCGAGGTGCTTGCTTGTGCTTAAACCCAAGGCGTACGAGGCATGAGATTTTTTTTCCCTTCAGTGATATATTTGGGTCATTCATAGATTAACTTTGCTTGGAGTATTTGATTTGCTAACACCCAGATTCAAACTCCCAACAGAGATATCGAATTCTAATTCTAAACACTACTAACTTCATAGAACCAATCTAATCTAACTCAAAGATGAAATATCTCCGTTGAAATTTTTTACGGATGCTCAAAATTCTTGACTAACCCAGATTTTACGAAATAATGTTGACTTGATGCTAAAATTTGATTAATTTTTCTAGGAATCTCATTGTAGTATATCTTATATTGCTGAAAGGGGCTAAAATTGGAGGTATCCACTGCATCTGCCAGCAATTAGCTTCTTTTGGTAGAATATAATTGGTATATATGCTGAGACAAGCAGTACATTTTTTACTTACCTGAACTTCTTTATAAAGTTGTTGCAGTTAGTTTTTGTTAAGAAATTCATTGTAATTAGCTAATTTCGTAAGATCTTGTTGTAAATCTCAACCAAGGTCCACGATCGTGACACTTCAAAAATCAAGTTCTAAAAGCTTCGAGGAAGGAAAGAGTTTAAGCTTCAAACTTGAATCAAGAGATCTCCAATACACCTTTAAGAGCTTAGGACAAGATAATGACCTAGATACCTAAGAACCCTTAGTTTGATTTTAGACTTTAACTAATTAGGTTATGGAATTGGAATTAGAAAATCTGTGAATGACTCTTAGTCTTTTCATAAAAAAGATTTTTTAAACATCAAACGTGTTTTGAAAACATGAGATGAGTCATGTATCAGATATTATTTGACAAACACTCCTTAGTGCTCAATAGGTCAAGTATTTTCTTGATTTCTAGCTCAAAAACGAGTAGGGACCATCAGCTGCTCGCTTTTCTTTGGGCAATACAGTCTTTGTACACTTTGGAAAAAATTGGAGAAAGGCTAACGAGTTGGATAGTAAAGACCGCCATCAGGCCACTCGGTCAGTCAGCATACAGCTCGAGCAATGTCTGCTCTTTAATGGCTCAGGCAGTCCTTCATAAATTTAGGTTTTCTTGGCCCCCAAGTCTACTCAAATTCCGAGGATATTAATGAATAAGTAATTCCAAGCTAGGGTAACTCTCTTAGAAGCCTAAAATCACCTTCCTACATCTTTAGGTAGTCAAGAACAACCCTAGATCCCAAAGAGCCAAAGGCCAAACCGTCTTAATTCTTTATATTCAAATTCACATTAAAGAAATAGATCTTCGTTTGGCGTTCAAATGCATAATTGATTAATTAATTTAGTAATTGAGGTCGATTAAGTTATAAATTGGTAGTTGTCCAATCAATAATTTTTAATTAACCTATTCACTCCCTCTAGGCTATGTTTGCAATTCCTCATATATAATCGAGTGAAAAAATCCTTACATTAGAAAAATTCAATTAGTATCAAAGTGGAAGTTTCCCGTGAATTGCACACAAGACATATTATAGGTGATGGTGTTGGGATTCAGAATGTGAGTTGGATGCTTAAACTAAAGAGTTTGAGGCTTGGTCATGCTGGTTCAGTGAGTATGTGAAGGAAGGTGATTAAATTAAGATGGAGCTTAGTGGCTCCAACTGGTGCTACAGCAAAAACAGAGAAATAGATCTAGCTGGAGAATGAATAAGACCACAAGAATTATAGTGTTTCACCAACTGTGAAGTTGGCTGATCCACTCTAATGGAGTCTCTTGTTCCTAGAGAAATCGTGTATTACTTGAGAAGATCTGGTTACTTTATTTTTCTTATGCCCCTTCATGAGTAAAGGCCTTTGTATTATAAGAGATGGTGTGTTACCATCAAGTGGTCTCTGGTTTGTTAGAATTTTGTAAATGGAATATTTGGGCCATTTAAGTCTATATTTCCTAGGCCGTTAGAGGCTATATTCTCTATGAGTGAAGTGGCCTTCTAGAATATGTTGTGGTGGCAAGATGACATGTCTTCCAACCTGGACATATAACGATCTTTCACACCTCTGGCAGAATCTGTCATCTGTTGAGTGACTTTAGGGCGAGCTCTACTGTTGAGGTTAGCTCATGCATACTAGAGATCAGTTCAGTCAGCTTTCCTGAGCTTCTGATGTTGATACTCTTCGGGGTTTCTATAAGGCGACGTGAGCGGTTCTCCTTGTGGGGTTTCTTTCCTCAGGTGGACTTCGCTATATGACTCCATGATGGTCCAATCACTTGACCCTATCACTACTATCAAGTGGTGCTATTTTTTGGGTATCATCAGTTGTCCTCCAATCTCGAGTTTGATCTGTCTTTGCTGGTCATAGCTTGGGACTATGCTCTAAGTATGATTGGTATTACCTCAATCTAAAAGCAACTCTAAACATTTGAATTTGCTGACAGGATGTGACAGGACAATCATAAAAGACTAAGGTGCTACACGAGCATGGGGAACAAATAACTTCTCGTTTTTCAAAATGTATCAATAACATCATGCCACGTGGAGTGGTGTGCAGACGCATTAAATGCGCTCAGGAACAGAAAACTATCAAAACTTCTTCTATTTAGACTTTTTCCCAAATCAAACCTTTCACTTTACCAATTTCTTCGTTTTTCGAGCCTTCCATCTCTAAATCCTCCTTTCGAGTTCCTAAATCTACGTGAGTTCTAAAGTTCTTTGAGTATCTCTGCAAATTGTGAGAAGGATTGAATTGGTGATTCGAGCTGGCCTAATAGATTCTTTTGGTGATTTCACCACATCTGTGTTTAGATTCCCAATCCTCGCTTGCTATTCGCGTTTTCTAGGTACGTTTTTTTCCTTCTTTTCCTCATTGACTTTGTACCAGTTCTGGGTCACTTTGGTCTCTATGGTGGCCCCAAGGACTCCACTTATTAGTTCTCCATTTCTGCAACTTTAGGGGTTTTGGAAGATCATTAGCAGTACCTTTTTTCTAGATCCTTGGATTATGGCTAGGGTTTTCTTACTAGGTCATTGGTGTCTAGATCCTTGTTCGATTGAGGGTTGCACTTTTCAGATATCCCGAATTTCCCTTGAGTTAGGCTATTTTTAGTTATTAATTTCACCCATGTCTGAGGCTTCTTCCGAGGCTACTGGATCCTCCATCTCCCGCATGCTTAGGGATGCAAACTACGATCTTGAGGTTGAATCTTCACCTTATGGGGATGAGAAACCCAAGGTTGAGTCGTCCCATCAAAGAGAGGTGGTAGATCTAGAGGAGATCCAGGAGCCCTTGTCCTTAGCTTTCTCAGGGAGAAGGTTTGCCTCGTAAGGAGATATCCCCTCTTCTCTTTAAGGATGTGCCAAAGGAAGAGCGCCTTGGCCAAGGAAAGAGAAAGCGGGCTTCCAAGAAGAGGGTCTCTAAAACTTATCGTGTTCCTCATTCCGACGAGGTCAGTACTTTAGGGAGACCTAAAGAACTGCGAGGTACTTCTTTGAATTTTATCAAGAGTTGTATTTCTAAGCATCGGCTCCAAGCCCTAGTTGATCGTTATCAATTTCCTCCTGACGTCAAAGCTTATTCCCCCTCCAAAGTAGATCGTTACAACATCTACCCCTTCGAGTCGGATTTGAGGTTTCACATGCATCCCTTTCTAAAGAGTGTTCTTCGATTTTACAATATTTGTTCCGTAAGGCTGTCTGGCTCCCAATTTCTAAGGGACATTGGTTGGTCTTTTGGTTTTCTAGAAAAAGAACTACCTAAGGGGTGCTCCTTTGATGGCTGAGCTTCTTCATTTCTTCACTATCAAAGGTTCCTCATTGGATGGCTTTTTCTATATCTCCAAACATGTCTATGCCCATTCACTAATCATAGGTGCTCCGTCTTCTCACAAATCTTGGAAAGAGCACTTCTTTTATGTTTCAGGCGATGCTTGGGAGATAGACTCGAGCGATGCCTCCGACATCCTTCTTGTCCCCTAACTTTAGGGGGAACCCAGGAACTTGAGTGTCAATCCTTTTATGTAAAAGTTTCGTTTATTCTAGGTGATTCTTTTTCTGCCCAGCTGAGGTTGATACTTTGTTTTGCTTCGCAGAATTCCATCCCAAGCTGACCCCTAAAGAGCTCCGAGTTGCTAAAACCAACAAGTGTGAGACGAGGCATATCAAGGAGCTCATTTTTTCTGAGAAGTTAGCGAAATACAGATTTGGTCCACCCGAGTTTGAGGAGCTTCTACTTTCCCCTACTGCTGCAGTAACCCTACCACTGAGATTCAAGGCGGTCTCACAGATATGGGCACAATTTTTTAGCCATCCTTGCTTCAACCCATTTGTTTTTTGGATTTTCTCGACCTAATCTCATCTTGCGTAGATCTCAATCCCATGGCTCATGATTTGTAAGAAGTCATGGAGGTGAAGGAAAGAAGATTGAAAAGGAAAGGGCGTCTAACCAAGCCATGACCCCTAGTCTCCTCTTAACTCAAGGTTTAAAAAAGGTTCTGAGAGTTGAGGATAAACAATCTTTGGGGAGAGAGATTTTTGAGCTTCTTGCAAGAGTTCAAAATTCGGAGGATACTCCTGCTGTCGTTGGGAGTCCCCAAACTGTGGATCTTTCCTTAGGAATCTCTAAAGAATCTAGAATTCTCCCATCTTTGCTCCCACCAACTTCTGAGGTTGCTGTGTCTACATCGCTACATCGCTACATCTCAGGGGCTCATGGTTCAAGGTATCGGCCGAGTCCGATACGATTTGGCCTAGTCATATCCGACTCAGCCATTGACGATACGATAAAGGACCAAAATTTCGTTTTGAACTACCGTTTCGGTCGGCTAAAAAACGGAAACGTTTCGCAAACGCAATGAAAAAGCAGAAAAAATATGAAAACACAAATATAATCCATTAATTTATAAAGATAAGCTAAATAATTGATTAATTTAACATATTTATTGGGTTAACATTCATTTATACAAGAATAAATTTAAATGTAATTACAGTGAGTATTAACTATTAAATGTAATTGTAGTGAGGTATCAAATGTAATTGCAGTGGGTATCAAATGTAATTGCAGTGGGTATCAATTGTAATTACAGTGGGTATTAACTATTAAATGTAATTGCAGTAGGGTGATAAATGTAATTATAGTAGATATTAAATATAATTACAGTGGGGTATTAACTATTAAATGTAATTACTGTTGGGTATTGAATGTAATTACAGTAGGGATTAAATATAATTATAGGGGGTATTAAATATAATTATTTATACTTGTAACAAAAAAAATATATATATAACTGAGAGTGAACGACTTAGAGTCTCAGACACACCACACACGACTCAAACAAAACACAGAAGCGAGAGGCGAGGCGATGGCGATGGCGATCGCGATGCCGAAGAGAGAGAGAGAAAGAGAGGAAGAAGAAGAAGAAGAAGAACATACCTCGGGCTCGTGGTCACATCGATGAAAATAGGAGGCTCTGCGTGGAAAATCCGAGCCCTAGATATGCGTGGAAAACCCGAAAATGGCTGGATTTGCTCAAATCCGGACTCAAGGTAACTTCCTCAAGTCTTCTCCTTCAATTTCTCTGTCTCTTCGAGTTCCTGTGGCCTGGAGTGAACCGAATCTATATTGTTTCGACCGAAACGGTTTGACACAGTCCTGTTTCGAACGAAACATTGAAATTTTAGTATTCATCTCCTGTTTCATGTCGGTGTGTTGAAATTCCCAAACATTTCGGACTTTTCGACACGACATTTCATTCCTTGGATACGATAACGGTACGCGAATCACACGAATGACGAGTTTAACTAATATCGGCGATATCTCAGACGTCTCGGCCGAAATCAAAGGTGTCGGTGATAACTTGGTTCAACGCGGGCGACTCTTATCAGAATCTTTTCGAGTTGAACACGACAGTGAAAAATCCCCCAAATTTGAGATAAAGAGCAAAATTCCAACACCCACACCTTTGTAAAAGCTTAAAAACACTCAATCATTTTTCTAAAAATAGAACAAAAATCCAAAAAAAAAAGTGATGGAAAATAAAACAGACCCATCACCAATCGAAAGACTCGAAACCCATGTGAAAATTGCAGAAATCACATGAACTCTGAAGCAGCAAACCCCTATAAAAACCAAGAATACTAAGGATTCGACATACATCTTCACCTTGTCTTGTGTGACGACATTGTTTGATTATTTGTCGTGACGATCTTCTTCGATTCTTTGTTGAGACGATCTTCTTCGATTCTTTGTTGAGACGATCTTCTTCGGTCTCTATTGATGAGGGACTGTGGTCGTCTCTCTGTTTGCACCTCTCTTTCTCTCTCTGTTGTCGTGACTGAGAAGTGAAAGACGAAATCTTCGTCTGAAGACTCTGAACTGAAGAGGTAAGTAGGTAAGAAAAAAAAAACTCTTTAAAAGCTGTGCGCTTTTTTTTTTTTTTTAACTGAGTGTTTATATATTTATATTTGTCTTAATAGTAACATAAAAGTAGTAGCTCAATTGGGTGGAGCTGCAAATTGTCATGTTGCAAGTTACTGGTTCGACTCCTCCAAGGCTCCAACATTCTGTTTTACATTATTTTAGTTACAATTACATTTAAATTACTCCAGAGAGGCAGAGATTCAATTGGGATCCATTCCTCCAGAGATGCAAATGTTACAATTACATTATTGTTATATTTAAATTACTTATTTATTGAATAAATATTATAAGTATTGTTTTTTAATGATCAAAAAAATTATACCTTTAATGTAATAATTAGATACATTAATATTTTATAATAATAAATGAGTGGATATAAGTTATATTTTTTTTATTGATAAAAATATATGTTCTATTTCAAATTATGTAAAATTAAATGATACAATTACATTATTGTTATATTTAAATTACTTATTTATTGAATAAATATTACAAGTATTTGTTTACGGGTCATCTAGCCAGTACAACCTCCACAGTCACACTATTCTGATTTTGGGTCATCTAGCCAATCAACTCAACCAACCCAATCAAACCCGTATTCACACTTGTACTCTTATCCTTATGGTGGACAGTATCCTAATTTGTATTATTCTAGAGACAATAACGACGATTTTGAGACTCATCGTCGTTCAATGTGGCAATGATTATGGCTCAATATGTTTCTAAATGCCTACATTGAATATTGATAATGATAATTATTTTGGTAGCGATTTTATGTTTTATTTTAATTATGTTTAATGTGTTTTTGAATTTATTGTGGACATATGATATATGAATGATGATGTCTATATTTTTATAATTTTTTATAATTTTTTCAAACTTTTTTGGAGCTTCTATCTTGTGTTTTGAGCGTATCGGCCGATACCGTGCGCCGACCGATGTGTATCAGCACCCTCCCAATCGATGGCCGATACCGCAACTTTGAACCATGCAGGGGCTCGACTCGTCTCATCCAAAAGTGGAAGAAAATGGTTCCCTTCTCAGGAATTCTGTATTGGCTACTACCACGATGTTGAGCATCTTGCCCAAATTCGACATTGCGAAATCAGCTAACCTTAGTGCCAATGATAAGGCAGCCAATGCCCACTACCGCATCGTCGAGATATTACTTTTCCTTTTCTTTTGGATTTATATTTGTAGCAATTTCTATAAAAAACACTTTGCAATGAGAAATGTTTTCCTTGCTTATTTGTATTGAGAATTTTCTACATATATCTGCCCCCATTCATTTGCTGGAAGGTATATACCTTGTAGTAATGATAATCCTTGTGGTTCTAATCGCCAAGTTCTAGAAAGTTGTTCACCTCATAATTCTAATTGCTAAGTTCCATATCTAGGTGGTCTCCTAGACTTAGTAATTAAGATCCAAGCTATGTACAAACCAATAAGCCCTTCTTCGTCATGACCTGAGGCACTCTTTTAAGGTGCGAATTTTTGTTGAAGGGTTATTTCTTTTCACATGTCGACATTGTGGATGACTTTATAACGGTTAGTGAAGAGACGCGATTGTGATGATTGCACTTGTTAATGTCGTCCAATCATTACGTCTCTGACAAAAGCCAACGAGATGCATTCATCTGACTCACCATGATTGCCTTGCATTTACTTTTCTCATTAAGCTGAAAGGCTTGGGAAAACGTGAACCATTGTCTTTTTGGCTATAAAGGCGTATGTTGATCCAAATTGTTGGATTATATTCTTGCAACTGTGTAAGCCATTTTTCAAGCAAGTCTTTCTCCTTCTTTGCGAGTTTTTCTTCCTTCCCCTCTATGGATACACCTCTTTCATCCGTATTCAAACATCGTGCCTTGCTTCTGCTAGAAGAACCCAGCTAGGTTGCCTTCTTGGACCCCAATACTATCTCAAAGTCTGAGGCAAAGGCCATCAAGAGACGTTATCAATTTCCTGATGACGTCTCCATTCATGCCCCCACTTCTGATGAACCTTGCAACCTTTTTATGGGGAAAAAGCTATGTTTCTTTGAGTCTATGTTCGAAGCCAGGCTTCGCTTACCTATGCATGTGTTTGTGAGGCAATTTTTTGCCCTTTTCGACCTTTGCCCCTCAAAACTCTTAACAGAGGGATGGGGGCTGCTGTTGGGCTTCTTATTCCTCTGGCGTCTTCATGGCTATGACCATTTTCCTTTTCTTTCTGAATTTCTTCACTTCTTTTGATTGGTCCCTGACTTTCCTCCTTTTTTCTATTACTTCGCCTGGAAAGGTCAGTTCTCTAAGATGATTTTTGATGCTCCAGCTTTTCCTAAGGGATGACAACGATGCTTCTTTGTTTCAGAGAATGACTAGGAATTTGGCGGGGCAGTTATTGACACTCTTTGAGTTCCCCATTTCTAGGGACACCCTTCGAATAGGGGTAAACGTTCTCTTTTTCCTTATTTCTAACATATGATTTCTTATGGTAACATTTACTTTTCTTTTGGACCATTGTAAAGGAGGTCACAAAGAAGTGTTCTACCAAGGTCACAAGGGTCTCCAATCTCTACCAATTTGAAGCATTGCCCTTCAGAGTGCTGGTTACAACCCATAACTTTTTCAAATTCGAGCTTGGCCTCGCCCCTACTAGTACTCCTGTTACCGCTTTTTCCCCAATTACTGAGGACTTTGTAGGAGCCTCCAACCGCTGGAGTAGAGGAGGAGATGAAGGTGCTTCTTCCTCTAGAAAGAGGCTTTGAGGGTCCATGCCTAGCCCTTTTTCTAGCTCTAAGAGAAAGTTTTGTGCCTATGTTGAGCTAGATCTGCAGTTGGAGCTAGTCGTCAAGAAGGGACAGCTCTTTCGCTCTGAGGTCGAAAAGGACTACCTTGCCAAGGAGAATATACTGCTGAAGAAGCAGCTTAAGGAACTGAAGAAGGAATTTAGGCCTTGAATCCGTTGCTTGTAATTTTTGCTTGTGTAATCCTCTCTTTGAATGAAATATGTGACTTCCTTTGCTCTCTTTTCTTTTTGCACTAATTATTTTGTATGCTTCTTTGTAATTCTTATCACTAAGTCCCAAGTGAGGGTGGCCCCCTGAGCTTAGTGGTTCAGAATCAACCTTATACTAAGCTAAAGAACTTCCTAAATTGACAAGATTATCATGAGCTTAGATTCTCTATAAGGTGAAGAGTTTGTCGAGAGCTGACTAGATCATCTTCGTTCGAGCTAAAAGCTCTTTTATGATTGAGTTTAAAAACTCATTGTGAGCTTAAGTGCTCTATAAGCTGAAGAGCTTATCATAAGTATGAGCTGAATAGTTCGTCTTCGAGCTACAAAGCTTTTTTATGATATGAGTTTAGAAACTCATCGTGAGCTTAGATGCTCTATATGTTGAAGAATTTATCATAAATACGCGTTGAATAGCTCATCTTCGTTTGACCCTGCAAATCTCTTTTTCAATATGAATTTAAAAACTCATCATGAGCTTAGATGCTCTATAAGCTGAAGAGCTTATCATAAGTATGAGTTGAATAGCTCATCTCCGTTTGAGCTGAAAGCTTTTTATGATGAGTTTAAAAACTCATCGTGAGCTTAAATGCTCAATAAGTTGAAGAGCTTATCATAAGTATGGGCTGAAGAGTTCATCTTCGTTCGAGTTAAAAAGCTCTTTTATGATATGAGTTGAAAAACTCATCGTGAGCTTAGATGCTCTATGAGCTGAATAGCTCATCTTCTAGTAGACGAGCAAAAAGGGTGTTGCTTGTCCTCAATACTTGGGAAAATTTTCAAATTTGCATAATTAGGAAATTTTTAAATTTGCAAGAACTTCATTAACGTGGAATATTTATAACTACCTTCAAGAAAAGGAGTATCTTTAAAGAAATTTCAGTTTAAGGATACTAGAACAGTCATTGGTAGAATCTTTTCAAATGATCTGCATTCCAGGAATGTGGTAGATCTCTCCCATCTTGATTCTGTAGCTCATAATTCCCTAGTTTAACCACCTTCTTAACTATGTACAGTCCTTCCTAATTATGCCCTAGTTTCCATGCCTGGGATCTTTCCTTACTGGAAAAAGCTTATTCAGAACGAGATCCCCAACTTTAAAACTGTCTTTAGACCCTCTGATTATAGTATTGAGTTGTCTTCCTCTTATAAGATACAATCCTCTACAATGCTTCTTCTTTTTTCTCGTCCAGGAGATCAAGGTTTGTGAGGAGAGATTAATTGTTCTCCTCAGGATTGAATAGCTCGTTCTGGGGGAAAGAAGCCCGACCTCTACTGATTCAACCATTTATGTTCCAAATACTAGGCTGATGGAGTCTCATGTGTGGCGGTTCTGGCCGTCATCCTGTACGCCCATAATATACTTGGGAGATGTTCTACCCACTATCCCTTTGACACTTCCAACTTAGTTTTTATAACCTTGATTATCGTTCAAATAGTGACTTCTGTCTGACTATTGGATTGGGGATAAGCTAGAGTTGAAAAATAATTTTTTATCCCGAGCTTTGAACAAAAACCCATGAAGGTAAAGTTGTCAAATTATTTTCCATTATTTGACACAATAGCTCTGGGGATTCTGAACTTGCACACTATAGACTTCCAGATGAAATTCCTAATCTTTTGTTCTATAATGGATGCAAGTGGCTTGATCTTTGTCCATTTGGTGAAATAATCTATTGCCACTACGACGAACTTGCACTATCCCACTCCAAATGGCAGAGATCCAACGATATCAATTCCCTATCATTAGAAAGGCCACTACTTTACTATTGGCATAAGTAGCTCAGGAGTGCAATGGAGAATGTTAGCACGTATCTGGAAGGTCATGCATTTTTCTTACCAAATCCTTAGTGTCCTTCGCCATAGTGGGCCAGAAATAACCTTGCCTTAACACCTTATATGCCAAAGTGTGGGCCCCTATGTGGTTTCTACAAATGCCCTCATGGATTTCCCTTGGTACATAGTTAGCCTCTTCTTCTGCAACACACTTTATAAGAGGTGTTGAGAATCCTCTTTTGTAAAGCTTCCATAAAGCTCAAGAGCTCGAGACTTGTTGTAGGCTTTTAGGTTGCTTTCTCACAAGCTTTGGGTTTTTTTGGAGGTTCGATGGTCTAGATCTACACCGGTGATTTATTTTGCCTCTTATCCCTATTATAGGGTACGATTTTGTGTTGTAGCTTGATTGGATGATTCTGAAGTATGTTTGATTGATTGTTTGGTGAAAACTTGGTGGACTTATCTTCTGTGTGTATTGGTCTTTCTTCGATGGTGTTGGGATTCCTTCAAGGCTACTGTTGTTGTCTTTATTGCTCTCTAGTTTGTTGGTTTGCTAGGTTCCTTCTAGGGTATTGGTTTGCTACCCTTGTGATTGTGTTACTTGATTGCTCAATGATGGGCATTAGGTTTTGTGTTTTGGATTTGGTTTGTGTGATTTGATTCTTTTTATGCAATTTTCGTTTGCTAGAATTATGGGAAGTGAAAACTCTGACTCTCATCAGTCCAATAGTTTAAAATTGACTATGATGGCTGATCGACTATGATTGTTGATCAGCTACAAAAGCTTTTTTAGCAGCCTAATACTCTCTTTATCTCTCGTTAACTTCGGATCTTCCAAGTCTATCCCGAACCACCTAGATTTTTGACTAAGGTGTTACACATCACGTAACTAGTGATTATTACTTTTTTGCATCTACTTTCTCTCCTTCATTGATATTTGTGCTTGCAGCCAATGGTACTCAAATATCATTGGCCAGTGTTGGGTCTATTATTTCTCCGCAACTAACACTTCTCAGTATTTATTATATTCCACAACTTACATTGAAATCAATTTCAGTTAGTTAGGTATTTGGCTCTGATTTTTCAATTCACTTTTCTACTTCTCTATGAAGCACGGACCTCAATTTATGCTCACGTACCATTGTTGGACACGTCTGGCACACAAACACATCCCAGACACGCAAATAATGGTCTCCAATTTTTTTTATACTTTCGAACATGTTCCGACACTTTGCAACACCATCGGCCACGTTCCTTTCTACATTGTATACCTAGATTCAAAGATAATGAAGAAATAAAATAACATCGAGAGAGAAGTAGAATAGTTGCAGGAGATTTAGTGACAGAAAAATGAGGGTGATTGTAAGAAACAGAGAGACGGAGGAGACAAGAAATTGTCAACGGTTCATCGATCAAAGAAAAAAGTTGTAAATGGTTTTTGATGTAGAAGCCTAGAGGGTGGAGACTTCTTTAGAGAGAGAGGGGGGCGGAGATGCTTAGACTATTCCAGAGACACGAGAGGATAAGGCCTCCCTTTACGCACCTGCAGGACCAATGTATTACTCCTAAAAATATTTTGGTGGGATATAAGCTAGCTGCCAGAGAAAATCAAGTGCAACAAAACATTCTACACCCTATTGACTTGCAACTTTCATGTAGATTAGTCAATCAGTAGATGAATAGATGGCTGCCAAGTGTCCCATTGAGGGTTATTGTGAAATACCTATCCAACAACTCCATTAAAAATTTGACTGAGGTGGGCCTATGCTATTGATTCATAAAAAAAAAAAAATTGTTGGAGCCATAACTTGGACTGCCCATGTGATCGAGTGTTAGGCTTGGCAATCCAACATTTGATGAAGCTACACATCAGGTGATCAATTCACAGAAAAAATTGAATGGACAACCAAATTTTCTTACCCAGCAATCCAGCCCTCAACTTGGTACTTTATTGACAGAAATCCCCTCTTAAAATATCTACTAGCTTAATGTTGCAGCAGTTGTTTTTGGTTTATGACAAAAAAATAACCAGCAGAATTTTAACGAATAACGTCTTATTGCTACATGTAACATCATTTAATATATGTACATAATTTGTAAAAATTTATAGATATTTAACGTGGTTGTCCTTTTTTTTGAAAAATTTCATGTTTGCGTGTACGTATCGTATCCGTATCCGTGTTCATGTTCATGTTTGTACTTCTTAGCTATTTGTGGTTGTGTTGTGCTGGATCCATGATCCAAGAAGTTGATAGGGATAGGCAGTAGGAATAGAAGGGTTATATGTGTTGGACGAGTTATATGCCTCAGATATTGTTGCTTATACAATTGATTTATTTTCTATTCATTTGAGTCCACAGTCTTCCAATTTTTATTTGTGACATTCTCACCTTGATCATGTTTCTCATATTCATTTAAAGTTTTTAACCTTTACGGTTAGTTTGGGTATCTTGGAGTGTCATGACATTTCTAGTTGTAGTAGCTGCAAACTAGCTAAATTTACCACATCACCTTTTAATAAAAGTTCTACTAGCTCTCTTGCACATTTTGATCTAGTTTAGTCTAATGTATGGAAATGTTCTCCTATTCCCATAAAAGGAAGGTCCAGATATCATGTCTCTTTCATTGATGATTATACCAGGTATTTTTAGGTCTATCTAATGAATCATCGTTCTAAATTCTTTTCTATATTCACTGTTTCTCGTGCTATGATACATACTCAATATTCCTCAGTTATTCAATATTTTTCATGTGATAAAAGATGAGAATACTCTTTCAAATTTTTTTATCGTCTGTTAAAATCTGATGGCACACCTGAACAAAATGGTGTAACATAGCACAAACACCAACATATAATAGAGACAACACGCTCTCTTTTGCTTTTTGCAAATGTCCCAAGTTCTTTTTTGAGAGACAGTTCTTACTACAATTCATCTGATTAATTATGTGGTAAACTGTCTAATTATTTCCCCTAACATGTATTTGGATGTACTTATTTTCTCTTGCTTCCTAGTGCTCCTCGTACTAAACCTTTTCCTTGTTCAGCTCTATGTTTTTATGCGGAGGGTCAAAAAGGATAATGTTGCTATGATCTTATTGCACAAAAACTTTATATCTCTCGTCATATTGTTTTCATGGATCATATTCCCTTTTTTTTTATTCCATTAT